GCCTCTGGTGTATCAAAGCCTGGCGCCCCAGCTGGTGGGGCTGAGTGAAGACAGAACTGGGTACTGGCTGGGCTCTGGACTACAAAATTCAGGCCAGGACCCTATCCCCTATCCACGTTTCCCTGTCTCTGTCTCTATTTCAGTCTTTGTCCATACTAGTCTCAGCCCAGTAGTCTCTTTTCCTCCCTTGATCTCTCTCGTCTGTACCTCCCCGGGGGTACAGATGGCAGGCTGATGAGCTGAAGATGCAAAGAAGGGTGGCATCCTAAAAAGAACTCTAGGTTCAAAGGATGCTGACACTTGCAAGCTGAGGGAAGACAGAGGCTGGGAAGGAGGGTCTAGTCAGGTGACTGCAGGACTGTCCTTGCTCCCAGCTCCTAGGTGGCATGTGGGGCCTGCTGACCAGGCAGAAGCAGGGGGAGGACAGGACCCCATTTCCACAGGAATGTTTCAGGTTCTGGTTCTTAGTCCCAGGAGGGGAACTGGATTCCAGGAGAGAGGGCAGGAGGATGAAGTCCACAGAAGGGCACAGGAACCATGCTTTGATGCTGACAGAACCTGTGAAGGCTCCTGTAAAGGCCCAGCCCCTAATTTCCTGCCTCTCCAGCCACCTTGTACCTCCATCACCTCCCTCCCCTCATGCTCAGAGCAGAGCGTAGGCCAGGGCACCTTACAGCATCCAGAGTACTTTTATTGCCAGAATCCAGATTCAGCCTGCTCAGAGCCCCATGCGGGGCCCACCACTCAAGAACAAAGGGAGACAGATGCCAGGCATGTATGCAACAGAGAAAATCCAGCTGCACAGAAATCCTGTGGGAGAGCAGCTCAGTCCAGCCTGAAGGCAGCTTTGGGAACCCCACCTAGAGGCTGTACCCTTTTCTCAGCCTGTGGCCAGTCACCCACTTAAAGCCTACTGCCATGAAGGCAGCTCTGACTCTCCATGCCTGCTACCACAGGGAGACCCATGGAGCACCCTGGGGCAGACAGAAAGCCCCTAGGGGGGCCTCAGGGGACTCCTGGCTCTCTCAGGGTCCCATTCAGCCCCGTCCTCAGCCCCGTGCTGACCCACTTGGGTACTAGTGAGACTCTAGGGCAGGGTGGCAGTGTGGTGGTGGGGTTAGCAAGAGGTACAGCTCAGGGAAGCTGCGAGCAGCCTTGGCTGCTTCCTTGGATTCCCTTTCTCCACAGGCCCCTAGAAGGCTGTGGCTCCAACCCCTGCTCTCATCCTTGGAACCACAGTCCCAGGGTGAAGGGAGGCAGCTTCAGTCCTGGGGCCAACAGCACATCCGAGGAAATCAGAGCTCCTGGGACACAGCCTTCAGGACTGGGGGCACATCTGCTGCCCAATCCAGAGCTTGACTGCTCTTGGCGGTAAGGGAGGTAGGAGTAGAGTGAAATGTCCCAGGGCCTGGGAACCATGAAGAATGCAACAAACTGCCCCTGCCTGCAGGGACTACTGGGCTCACCCAGGAAGCCAGTGAGGCTGGCCACCAGCTAAGCCACAGGGAAGCCAGCAGCTCTAGCTACCCATGGCCAGTGGCAGGCCTACCTGTGGCTGGTGTGTGGGAAGGGTCACCCGAGGGGCCAGGAGCCCATCCCTGGGACCTCTGGGTACAGGACCACAGCACAGTAACATCCCTCATAGGAAGGCAGCGGGGCCAGGGCCCAGGAGGCAAGTATGAAAAGCCCATAGGAGTAGGGGGACACACGGCCCCAGGTAGGGATTGGGACCAGGGCCCAGCCAGCCCACCCTGTGGAGCCAGTCCTGAGGTCACAGCAATTCCACCATCAGCAGCATTCTTGCCATCCAGGGTCCCTGAGTCCAGACTCTCATTTCTTCCTTCTTCACTGCCACAGAGAAAGGATAACAAACAGCACTTCCCCACGGCAGATGCTTCACAGTCCAAGACTCAGGGCCTTGAATAGTCAGTCACAAACTCTGTGAAACTCATGGGCCATGACAGCACCAGAGGCCAAGAGCAGGTCCACAGCTGAGCCATCCAGCCCTGCCTGGCACAGGAGTCAGGGCCCAAGGAGCACACGTTTCAGATAGGCCAGGGTGGTGGCGTTGGCCAGCATCTCGATGTGCTCGCTGCCTGGCAGCTCCCGTAGCAACACTTGGTGCTCCTGGAGGCTCTGCCAGGCCTGGCACTGCAGGGCACTCTTCAAGTTCACAGTACCATCGCCGTCACCAAAGCAGATTTTAGGGTCACGGTCAGGGAAGCTCTCATAGTAGAAGGAGTCTGGTGTGGGGACACCAGTGCCATAGAGGCAGTGCAGCTGCACGCCAGGTGGCATCGTGGCTTCCACCAGCCCTTCTGTGTCCTGCCGCATGAGCCAGCCGTCTTCAAAGCCGATGTCCTGGAAGAACCTGCGGTAGTCCCGCAGTGTGTAGTTGGTCGTGGGCGTCTGCACGAACACCTTCTCAGGTGACCACGTGTAGCTGTAGGGCAGCAGCCAGCTGGTGGAGACAGCTGACCGCTGCTGCTCCCGGATCTTCAGGGGCCCGATGACTGGGATCCGGTTGTTGTCTCCTGCAGGGAGAAGGCTCTGGGCAGTCTGTGCTTAGGAATGCCAGCTGGTTGGGCAGCATGTTCACCACCAGGCCCCTGCCAGGGGCCCAGTCCACAGTCCCGCATCTCTACCCTCTTATTATCATTGTAATCACTGTGACTCCCTTCCCTGCCTTGGCTTTTTTTTTTTTTTCTTTTTGAGACAGGGTCTCACTCTGTTGCCCAGGCTGGAGTATAGTGGCATGATAACAGCTCACGGCAGCCTCAACCTCTCAGGCTCAACCAATCCTCCCGCCTCAGTCTTCCGAGTAGCTGGGACTACAGGTATGCGCCACCATGCCTCATGCCTGGCAAATTTTACCTTTTTTTTTTTTTTTTTTTTGAGGTAGGATATCATTCTGTCACCCAGGCGGGAGTGCAGTGGTGCAATCTTGGCTCACTGCAACCTCCACCTCCTGGGTTCAAGCGATCCTCCTGTGTCAGCCTCCTGAGTAGCTGGAACTACACTCACGTCCCACCATGCCCAGCTAAAAATGTTTCCACTTTTTATACAGATGGGGTCTTGCTATGTTGCCCAGGCTGCTTACCTTGGCTCTGTTTCTCTTTATTTTTGCTACATCTGGGAACCACATATCCAAGATATGTTTTGTTTCTTTTGCTTTCCTCACCAGGGAGTGAGGCGGCACATACCCACAGTGTGATTTATGATGCTTCCTTGTCTGTAAACTCTGCCATCCTCCGAGTGCTGATCAGTCTGTGGGCACTGACCTAGTCTAGTGAGTCAGCAGGTTGGCAGCCCAGAGATGACATGTTCTGCTTTCCCTTTTATGACACTGAACTGTGTACCAGTTTTTCTTTTCCTAAGCTCAGACCAGTGTTCAGCCAGCAGCGGCCTCATTCCGCCCACTTGCCTGTGCGCTGACCTGGGCAGCCAGGCATGCTGGAGACAGGGCAGGAGGGGAGGCTGCAGATGGAGGTGGAGCCCCTGTACACAGGAATGGGAACAACACAAACACCCGGCAGCCAGGGAGGCCTCCAGGAAGTAAAAGCTGCAACTTGGAAACAGGGGCCTCTGGACTGTTCAGGATCCATGGTCGCCCATCACCCCACCCTGTATCTGAAAGCAGGGAGGCCTCTCGGACTGACTATAGGGCCTCAGCTCTGCCTGCTGTGGCCTGGCTGGGGGACCCCTAAGGCAAGGAAAGCCCCGAGGGGTGCACGGACACCTCCCTGCACCCCCCACCCCAGTCCTGGACTGCCAAGGCGGGACAGAACAGCTTCCCAGCCTTTGAAGCAAAGCTCTAAGGGGACTCACAGAGAAACTCTGAAAGGGGCCAGGGTTACCTGTCTAAACTCAGGGTATGCCCACATCCGTCCCTCCAGGCCCAGGCTAGACAAAAGGAGTGGCTCTAATGAGTCCTCACTAAAGCTGAGTGTCTTCCAGCCAATTCAGAGTCACTGGGCCTGACCCAATCACAATGCCAGTAGACCAAGCAGGTCAAGCAGTGGCAGGGACTTGAGCTCATGAGATGCTTGGCACAGCCCTGGCTCATAGCTCCCAAAGCGAGGGTCCATAAGCCTCCCTCAAGTCCTAGCAGAGGGAGGAAACTCTCTAGCTGCAGCTGGTGAGCTGCAACAGTCATGAAAAGATGGGGGAGGAACCAGAAAAGGGGTGGCTTTCCCAACTGCCAGGCAAGCAGGTGCAGCCAGATCTGCACCTGCTTCCTCCCTGTGTTGCCTACAGAGGCTCCTTGCCGCCCACAGATGGAGGTGAACTCATAAATTAGAAACTGTAGTCTAGAGGCCAGGTGCAGGGGCTCATCCTTGTAATCCCAGAACGTTGGGAGGCCAAGGTGGGCAGATCATTTGAGGTCAGGAGTTCAAGACCAGCCTGACCAAAATGGTGAAACCCCATCTCTACTAAAAATACAAAAAAATCTGGCTGGCTGTGGTGGTTCATGCTTGTAATCCCAGCACTTTGGGAGGCTGAGGCAGGCAGATCCTCCTGACTTGAGGTCAGGAGTTGGAGACCAGCCTAGCGAACATAGCAAAACCCAGTCTCTACTAAAAATACAAAAATTAGCCAGGTGTGGTGGTACACGCCTGTAGTCCCAGCTCCCCGGGAGGCTGAGGCAGGACAATCACTTGAACCTGGAAAATGGGGGTGCATGAACCAAGATCACGCTACTGCACTCTAGCCTGAGTGGCAGAGTGAGAAAGACCCTGCCTCAAAAAAATAAAATAAAATAAAATAAAATGCTCTAGCCTTCCTCCTCTGGGGTGAAGGTGGGGATGAAGAAGCAAGGATGGGGGTAAGAGGGAGGGACAGCCGGGCACAGAGGCTCACGCCTGTAATCCCAGCACTTTGGGAGGCCAAGGCGAGTGGATCACCTGAGGTCAGGAGTTTGAGACTAGCCTGGCCAACATAGCGAAACCCCGTATCTACTTAAAATACAAAAATTAGCTGGGTGTGGTGGTGAGCACCTGTGATCCCAGCTACTCGGGAGGCTGAGGCAAGAGAAGTGCTTGAACCCAAAAGACAGAGGTTGCAGTGAAC